ATCTTTTATCTTGCACATCAGAGAAAGGGAAGTTTTACTTCGTGTAATGTAAAGTAAATCATAACTTTTACATAATTTTTACATAATTTACATAATTTTAACTTAATTTTTTTATATAATTTACATAATTTTTTGTACAATACAAAATAATACTAAAAGCAACTTTGAACTTGAAGATTGATTTTAATATAATAAAATAAATCAGTTTCGTCTCACTAAAAAAAAAAAAAAAAATTAGATGAGACTCGTAAATCGGAATGGCCATTAGCAAATATATTTATATAAATGCGTGAAACTTCAGATTAAAACCTGAGTATTGCAAGATTCAACTCACAAATGAATTCAGATATTCGATATCGCGATTTTATGCATAAAACATCGATGGAGACGTAGATTCCACGCTTCGTTTCTCACATTTACTTCGCATCATTATTTACATCATTCCGCAGCAAAATTCGTTGAAATTACAACAACGTAAATATATCACGTCGCAAATTACCTTCCGGTTTTGCGCGACGCGATTTAACCTTCGCGCAGAAAAGGCGCAAAAAGATTTTGCCGCTCATTTGCTTGCTTTCCTCTTTATTGGCAACGGCTTTGCACAATCCGCGATGCAGTTCGTACCCCATCGTTGAAGGTCGTCCGATTTTACTTGCGTCGATTGTCGAATAACAATGATATGTCTATATTTCAACCGGATTTTTCTCGTGGCGCAAGGATTGTGAAACGCGAGATTTGTTCTCGGTGAATCCATCGCAAGAGTTTCAGAGGGAAATACCCGTATCCGTTTGTGTCACGCGATGATTAACACATCGAAACTTTAGTTCCGAAACTATGAAATAGCGTACAATAAACTTCCAACTTTTATATCATTACTTATACTTATTTTTTTATATACTGAAAACTTTGTTAACTTGACTAAACCGTTCAACTATATTATACTATTTTGTTAATTACACATTTATATTAATATTTACATATTTTGTTAGATTTAATATTTTATATATATTATATATATATTTTATATATATATTTTATATATTTATATTTTTAATATTTTATATTTAATTTAAATATTTTTATATGTTTAATTAACAAAATATTATATTAGTCAAGTTAACAATTTTCTTTTTTCTCAGTGTATGTAAACACAAAATATCTTAAATAAAATGTCTTGAAATAAAAATGAGATCATGTATACAAATAATTTTGAAATGCATATTTTCTGGTTGAGGCGAAAATCTATACGTGCAATATTGTATTATATTTATTCGTCAAACTGAAATCAATATAGTTAAAAAATAGATATAGATTATATCATTTGGTAAGTTTTAAACTTGCAGTCATCGTCTGATTAATAGCATGAATTTCGAATAAGTGATTCCGTCATGCTCGTACGCATGAGGAAACTTGTGTATTATTTACATTTCACGAGCAAGAAACTACGAGAAAATGTGTAAATAGCAATTAGAATTGCAATTAATATTGACGAGGCATTTGCGCTACTGTTATTTCAGATTTATTATTGAAATTGAAAATTTATATTATAAAAGAAAAATTGCATAATAGGAAGTCGTATAAAATTAGCATTGAAAAATAAATAGACATTTTTACCACGGAAACGTGATAGTAATCAGTCTAATAATAATTAATTTTTTAGTTTTTTTTAATCTTTACGTGATTATACATTTCTTATAGATTTATTAATTAAGAGAAATTGCTTATTACTATAAATAGTTTTAGTTATACAATATATATTTATGACACGCATGATATATGATTATAATTGCAATGTGATATCAATTTTTTAATTAAAAACACGCCAGATTAATGAAATTTTTATTAATAAAAATATTTTTTAAAATGCAGATATATTTCTATTTTTTTAGTAATTTGCATTGTGAACAATTAATTATAGCTCTATTTGAAATTCTATAAATTCAAGGGTAGTTTTAGATATCCGCGTCAACTCAAAAGATTTTTCGCTTTATTTCTTTATGAATCACGATACTTTAATACGGAATTAAAACGCGCCAAATACAATTAAACATTTTAAGTGACGCGATGCTTCCGTAATTATCAACCAGAAGTTGGCAATTAAATTAATTAACACGCAATCATCACTTTACGTATCATATATGGATAATTACAAGGCTGGCAATTGATTAGGTATTTTTCGACAGCACATACGTTTATAAAAGGCAATTACTTTACACTATACTTTTAACTAACAAAGAGCCCTCTCTGATTTTGATAATTTTGAATGGCTTTATAAAACAGTTCAAAGTAAGAGAAGCATATTTTTTTTACAAGTTTCACGTCTTCAACACATCACTGTATTTAATGTTGCGAACAAGATTAATATTGACAAAATGCATAAACATCTGTTCATGTTGTTTATTGTGGTCTGCATATTATGCATGCACATATTGTGTAGAATTTTAAATAGACAAGTGCAAAAAAATCTCGATAGTTATTACGCCTGTCATAAACTTACTATTGATAGTCATAATATATGAGAATGCAATATGCATGTAGCACAATATTTAAATCATATCACAAAAATAATTTTAAGACAATATGAATATAAATGAATTTTTTGACGGAAAACGCTTTTTAATTTTTATCTTTCTACAAATTCATAATTTGCAAAATTTCGATGAAAGTTGAAGTATTTTAAAATATATATTTTAAAAAAATTTAAATAATTAATTATAATTTATAGTATTTGATTTATAGTATTTAATCTATAGCATTAAAAGTCTGAAATATTTGTCCGAGATATTTTTTCGTATATTTCGTAACGAGATTACAAATTAAATAACAGCAAAGTTATCTTTGAAAAATTGTTTTGAAATACTAAAAAATGAATATATGAGTTTTGAGTATGAATAATGAGTAAAAAAAAATGATAAGAAATACGATTCTTTTTTTTATGTTAGTTGTAAGCCATTGTGCGTGATACATCTAAAGTTTGTTAAAGATCTTTTGTTAAAATTAAACAATATTTTTTTATTTCATTATTAGACGTGATTTTAGGAAACGTGTATTTTTTAAACTTGATTGTAAAAAAGAGAGATAATTATGCTTTTTTTAATTTTGCTAATTTGGCGCTGAAAGTTTTCTCAATAAAGCCAGATCAATTTAAAGAGCACGATTTAAAGAACAGACTTTTCAAGAATTTTGTATAAAAAAATTTACATACATAATTTTATTTTCATCAAAATCCCACTTAAAATCATTCCACCAAAATATCAGCAATTAAATTAAAAATTATTTGGCACACAATTTTAATTAAATTCAGATTTCAGACGTTAGAAAGAATGAGTTTATGTTTAATCATGACAATATAAGTGTCAATTTATTAAAAATATAACTCACCAAAGTTACACTGGTTTCAACCCCCCGATTAATGCAAAGGCTATCGAATGTCAGTGTGTTTTGTTTAATTTCGATCTCACAATATATAAGTAGTGAGTAGGCTAAATCTTTGGAACTATTCAAGAAGAGACGTATGAATTCCTTACTTGCAATATTTGTTATAATGTTTCGGCACGTGATTGAGGGAAACAACTGAACGAGCGGCAAATACGAGCCAAACTTTATAAATGACGGGAGAAAGTACAGAGACACTACCTCGTCGACAACCCCACGCTACCAAAGGTTCAATTTAACATGCACTAATCGCAAATATAAATGCGCAGCTGTGATTCATAATGAGACAATTTCCTACATATGCAATTATGTCTAACAAATCACTTTTTGTCTCGGAAGACATTTAGCAGATTGAGATTTTTTTCTCAAAGCCATTATAGAAACGCTTCCGTATGGTCTTTGGATTTACAATTTTAGGAAATAACACTGCAGCTTAAGTAAAATGTAAAATATATATATATATATGTAAATATAATTTGATCACTTATTCTCAACTGACACTTTGTCAGTTGAGCAAATTCTAGTGAAATCTTGGAAAAGCAGATTTAATATCTCATGTTATTTTTATTATTTTTTAAGGTTCACAATAATTTGCGTAGTATATGGAGTTATAAAATGAAATTTAGCTCGTTAACTGGCTACTGTTTCAGTCATTATTTTGATCTTCCTTTGCAATATGTACAAGAACAAATTGTTAAACAATTTTCTTTATTATAAAAAAAATGATAAAACTACATCTGAATAAAAGCAATATAGAGCTATATATATAATATACATAATTAAACATTTCATAATTGTTTATAAAAAATAAGTAATGTAAGAACAGAAACTGAAGATCATGAGCAATCTATTGTTTGAACCACATCTTTTGTCATAATCAGATTAAATTAATGTTAATATTAAGCTAATATTTTAATGTATTCATATACTAGCGCATTAATTCTGTTCTAATTATCCCCGAACGGAAAGAAGAATTGCATTATACATAATTGCATATACATAAAATTAGGCAATTGTGAAAATATCTCGATATGCAATCTTGAAATGCATCTATTACAAAACACGCAGACGCGTCTCCTGTGACGCTTCGCTCTAACTATTCTCACAAAGTCTGGAAAGAAGAGAGAGGCAAAGGAATTTACTATAGCGCAACATACTTAAAGCGTTGTAGTAAAATAATATAAGTAAAAGTTAATGATATAAATACTATGGAAAAATTTTAAATAAGTATTTTTGTATTATATACAAATATGCTTTGACTGTATGCGAAGCGTACATATTTTCTATATATATATGTGTATATATATATATATATATTTCGTCTATATATGTATATCTTAAAATATATAATTATAAATATAATTATAAATGATACAGCATTATTATATACATAATTATCGAATTCGCAATTAAAAATATACAAGCTCATGTAAAGAATCTGCTCGGAAGGGTTTTTAATAGAACGAACAGATGTAAAGGATTGAAAGGACGCAATATTCGCTTTAATCCTTTACATTAGTACATTCATTAGAGTCTTCTTTCTATCATAATTTAAAACGAACAGATTAACAATGTCACAAGTTTATTCCATTTTCAACCAAAATTCGTTTTTCAAATATTTATACTACAAATCTTCAAAGTATTCTCCTCGTAGATCCATAATTGCACTGTTCCGAAATCGAGAATCATTCAATATCTTTATTATTGGCACAACACATACTCGATTATGTCCCTGACCTCGTGCAGGAACTCGTCAAATGCGTCGGTAGCGTAGAAATCGCGAAACGTCTGCATTGTCTCACTCCACGACAGCTTTGCAGTGAGGAAGCTCTTGACGCAATAGGACCTCCACTCGTGGCAGGAGTAGTTTCTGCCCCAACACCAGGCTTGACACAAGTTCTCGTGATTAAGTTTGGCCACGGAGCTCTCGGTCAACGCGTCTGCCAGGTCCGACATGAGGAATTTATCAGCCAACAACGTCGCGTCCAACAACGACTCGATGTTTTCGTACTCGAACGAAGTCCCATTCGCAGCCAGGATTAATGTATTCAGACCGTCGCGTGATGTGTTCTTCAATCGCACTCGTCTCTTGCCCGACTCGCTAAAATTGCCCTCTAACATGACGGAGAAGAAGTCCGAGCGCCGACACAGCATCCTTTTGCATGCCTCTACGGTTGTGCCGTCATCCAACTCGAATGTCACCGTCGACGACACCGTCGGCTTCGTGTGACTTGTCGTCTCGTCGAGAGATAGCCTCGAGTAATCGCTGGTCTTCATCGAAGCGACCGTGATCGAGTGATCGGACGAATGGATCTTCAACGTCCTCGCCAACTGGCAGATCGACCAGATCGCCCGCTCGTGCAGTTCATGTGACGATTCCCTGAGCAAGCGGAATATCAATTCCAATCCGCCGTACTTGTCCAGTAAGCACTTGAGGTGGCGATGCGTCTTGATAAGAAGCGGTATCGATACCGCGGTCAGCAATTTGTACTCGTCCTCGCCGCGCAGCAATATAAATGATAGTTGACCGATGGCACCGCCGGTTTCCGCCACCATACGTAAACGTCGCGTGCAATCCTCCGCTTCCGGTAAGGTCTGCAGGTCGAATACCAGGCCTTGTTTCAGCAGCGGTAGAAAATACGCCGTGTTACTATAGACAAAGAGAATCGAAAGATGATTAGAAATGCGATAAATGAAATTTTTCTAAAATAATATTAAAATGACGGAATTTTATTTTTTCAAAAATCTCTTACTTCATGATTCTCTTTAATATCTTGATTGCGATGTATCGATATTTGTGGATGTTTTGTTTCCTCGTATATTTTATATAAGTCGTCAGTGGTATGATGATCTTAGGGTCGGCTAGCTCGTCGATTGGCTCGCGGAAAAACTCAATTTGTTCAGCAACTGTATCGTATAGAATTCACAAGCATTTATCTTGCCGGATGTCTCGGAGCTGGTTGCAGGCGAATCGAAATCAGTTTCGGCGGTCGTCAGCGATTTGTAGCTCTTCAAAGAAGCTACTTCTTCTGTAGCGATAAAATATTAATTTAGACGAATAAATTGTTGTGAATAATTAAATAAAAAATTATGTCAATAAAAACTAATAAAGATAATTTTGTACCGTCTTCTTCGTCGTTGTCGCCCCATTCGGTGTCACTGCAGATCGGACTATAAATGTCGTCATCCTCAGTATCGTCAGTCTCCGCATTGGAATCGGAACAAGGCGGCAAGGGTGGTGTACTAGGTGGCGACGAGGAGGAGGCGCTCGTGACACTTCTTGGACTCCAGTCGTCGCGATAAAAGTCCATACTAAACCTCGTTCTAAAACAAGAGACATAATTAATCTCGATTAAAAAATAACAAAGAAAAATCAGCTGCATGTTATACACTTTATAGAATAATTTTCTATAGATTTTGATATTAATATATATTCGACAAATATTTCGCTGTCTTTTTCACCTGTTTGCATATGTCCGATTGCACTTTAAATGCTTCGAAAGGTATTCGGATGGACTATCACTAAAACGTTTCTTGGAGTTATTTTTGTCATCTTTCAATTTCACCAGCTCCATGTCCTTAGCAATCGCATCTTTCAATTTCGCCACGAGAACATCCATTATACCGTGTTTGGTCAAAATGTCAAGAGCATTATCGTCGTAGACAAACTGAACGAGGGCTTGTAACAGCATAGAATGATAACGTTCGTGTTTCGAATTGTTCAGCAGCACTATAATCAGTTGCAATCCATCACTGTTCTTGATTCTGTTCCGATTTACCGATTCTCGACAAAACAGGCACAAGCTAATCAATATCTCTTCGTACATTTGTTCCGTAGAGCTGTTCTCCACCGAATTGACCCAAGCTATGACCTCCTCAATTGTGCCAGAAATGCCCAACTGCAATCGACACTCAGCTATTTGACAGAGAATATAGAGGCATTTCATGGCCATTTTATTGTTGCTCTTATTGCAGCATCGCATGAGACACTTGTAACCTTGCTTGTCCTTATCTACTTGCATTTGCGCGCCGCAGCGCGGATCTAAAGTGACGAGAAACGCACACATAGCTTTTAAGCATGCATCTACTAGTTCAGCATGCTTAGCGTCTTCATAAGACTTTTCTTCAGCCATGACGAATAATTGAGTAATCATCTTAATAATCTGCAACTCCACCATTGTTTCCCTAATGTGTACATAAAAACTCCAAATATTCCTGCAAATATAATTAAAATAAATTAATTGACATTTTGTAAATACACGCACTCTATAACACACAAAGTATTAAGAAATTAATAATTATTTTTCTATAGAAAATAACTAAACAGATAATATCACATAACAATTAGAACAATAGAATCATGAAATATTAAATGTTAGTTTATATAACTATAAAAACTGATAAGACATTTATTATTTTTATTTAATATATTAATTTTTGTTGGTATTTATTTTTGTTTGATTTTTTTAGCATTTAATTTTGAAATTTTTTATTCTAAGTGTTTATATGGAATTTATATAAATACAACTGAAAAATATAGATAAAAAAATTGGAATAATTTTATACCTCATAGCTCTGATGGCCATGCAATAAGTTTGTGTACTGGTCTTTAATATTAGAAGTGGTACAAGTGCTTTTACCACTCCAGCATCGCATAACTCTTTGACATGCCAGCTAGATTCAGACAAGTTACTGATAAGTCTGCAAGCACGGCAGTGCAGTTTAGTATCCAATTGGAGATTTTTTATTATGAGCACTACATTGATTCCAATCTTGGTGTCTTTTACCTGAAATGTTACATTCCATTAGAATCATTAGATAATGAAAAATATATTTCATTAATATATAATATATATATATATATAATGTGCATATATAAACATGGATATTATATTCAATTTTATTTAAAGTCAAGTTATGCTAATATCAATCATGTGTATCGTAACAAATATTATTATTATTTTAAAGTAGCACAGTTTATCATTCCATCATCTCTTCTATCTTAATATGAAATTTCTTTCGTTTATATAGTGCCTAGATACAATTTCATGAATATTATCATCATCATTAAATATATCTAAATATATTACAAATATATTTCCTATGTTAACGCAAGTGCAAGAAACATACCAAAGCATTATATAATAATATATTATTCTAGTTTCTTTGTATATTATAACATTAAAGAAATCATTATTTGTTCTCTGCTCCAAATGTGCTACAAAATAGAATTTTTAAAAATATGCCTTTTAAATACAAATCCTATGTACACCCCCGCGAATATTATCATCATCATTAAATATATCTAAATATATTACAAATATATTTCCTATGTTAACGCAAGTGCAAGAAACATACCAAAGCATTATATAATAATATATTATTCTATTTTCTTTGTATATTATAACATTAAAGAAATCATTATTTGTTCTCTGCTCCAAATGTGCTACAAAATAGAATTTTTAAAAATATGCCTTTTAAATACAAATCCTATGAACGCCCCCGAATATTATCATCATCATTAAATATATTTAAATATATGAAAAATATATTTCCTATGTTAACGCAAGTGCAAGAAACATACCAAAGCATTACATAATAATATATTATTCTATTTTCTTTGTATATTATAACATTAAAGAAATCATTTATTCCCTGTTCCAAATGTGCTGTAAAATAGACTTTTAAAAAATATGCCTTTTAAATAGAAATTGTAGGTACGCCCCTGAACTACGCAGCGCACTTGACATGAATGACTTGAAATGAAGTCGCCTAACAAGAGACGGAGAGGAAAAACAGACCTTTTCCCTGACGTCGTAAGCCATGCAGGCGTCCGCGAGGACGCTCAGACTCATGTTCATGATCGTGTCGCTCTTGCAGCGCAGAAGCTGGACGAGGATGTCGAGGCCGCTGCTCCGCTGGGCGAATTCCTTGCGGTGCTTCGGGTCGCTCTTCAATTGGGCGAGGCAGGTGACGATGCCGCTCTTGTTCTTCGCCCGAAAATGCCTCGCCAGCTCCGGCACGATCGGGCACTCGTCCGTCGCGTCCTTCCGCGACATCTTCGACGGCGAGGGCGCGAAATTCTCACGCGATCACGACGAAATCCGGGAAAATCCGTCGGCTGACATAACCTCAAAATCGTCGAACGGCGGAGACCCGAGACACAGATTAATAGACAGATCGCCAAAGGTCTGGATGAAGGAGAGACCAGCATTTCTCACTGATTTCAGCGCCATATCGTAGTAGTGGTCAATGCAGTAACTATTAATACATTCCCAAGATAAGAGCGTCTCATGCTCATGAACTCGTCCGGCGGCATGTACGAGATTTATCTTTTCGTAGCGTTCGCGTATTTCGGAAAGGACAGAATTTTATGATGTTATAAATAAATAAATAAATAAAATATTAACCTGACCTATTATAATTATTTTTTAATAAATGTTTCATTATTATTATCATCTAAGTCTAAGTCGTTTAATTAATTTTTAGTTTTTTAATAATTAATTTAATTTATTCTAATCATTTTAATATGTGAAAAATACTAATACGTATACGTTTTATAATGAATTAATATATTTCGAGAGTCGAATTATATATTTTTAATAATATAAAAGTGTTCAAAAATTATATTTGACTTTTAATTTTAATTATTTTAGCAAAGAGTTCCGAAATCTCTTACACACATAATAGGGATTTTGTTCATCCATATAATTCGCAATTAAGTATATATGTTAATTATTAATTTTAATAAAATACAAAATTAAAATTAAAGGTCAAATATAATTTTTGAACATAAATATATTTAATTCGTTATAAAACGTATACCCGTGATAGTATTTTTCTCGTACAAAAATAACTAGAACAAATTAAATTACTCATAAAAAAATTAAAAAATAATTAAATAATTTATATTATATATGATAATAATAAAACATTTTATAAAAAAAACAGATTCAATAAATATAAGTATATATATAACATGTACTTATATTTATTGAATCTGTTTTTTAATAAAATGTTTTATAAGCTTAGAAAACTTGACTTTGACGTAACTAGCAAATTTTATTTAATTATTTCACGACGGTTTGACGTAATAAAATGTTTTATTATTATTATATAAAATATAAGTTTAAATTCTTTAATTAATTTTTAATCTTTTATGATTAATTTAATTTACTCTAATTATTTTTGTACGAGAAAAATACTATCATGGGTATACGTTTTATAATTAATTTAATATATTTGTGTTTAAAAATTATATTTGACCTTTAATTTTAATTTTTATTTTATTAAAATTAATAATTAACATATATACTTAATTGCGAATTATATGGATGAAAAAAATCCCCATTATGTGTGTAAGAGATTTCGGAACTCTTTGCTAAAAAATAATTAAAATTAAAAGTCAAATATAATTTTTGAACACTTTTATATTATTAAGAATATATAATTCGGTTCCCGAAATATATTAATTCATTATAAAACGTATACGTGATATTATTTTTCTCATATAAAAATGACTAGAATAAATTAAATTAATTATTAAAAAACTAAAAAGTAATTAAACGACTTAGACTTAGATGATAATAATAATGAAACATTTTATTAAAAAAAGATTCAATAACTAGTAGGTCAGGTTATAATTTTTTATTTATTTATTTATAACATTATGAGCTATTAAGCTCATCATCTCGTTCGCTCTCTGTCTTGCTTTCATTCGGCAAGTCACAAACGATATATGATACTCGTATGTTCCTACTTCAACTCTCGAGAATCTGAAACAAACGAAACTCGTGTCCAATATACAGGGTGTCCGGTAACTAACAGACCAATGATTACAAATGGATTCTTTGGTCAATTTGGGAACGATTTTTCCTCAGCGAAAATGTCGAAAAAGGTCATCATTTTTTACAACTTTCCAATCTTTGTCATTATGTATCTTTATAACTAAGCCTTAAATTAAAATTTTATTATAGTAAACTCTACCTGAAATTAACTGAAGAATGTAATTATGTTAGACTTTTAACTCCAAAACGTTTAGTTTTCAAAAAACTTATTTTTTTCAATCGCTTATAACTCGAAAATTATTGACTTCTCAACATTTTTGCTAAGGAAAAATCGTCTCCAAATTGGCCAGAGAATCCGCCCTTAATCATTGGTCCGTTAGTTACCGGACACCCTGTATATATTATATAAAAGTGTATAGCACGTCAGAAGCTTGTGAGCTTACAGCGATAAGTAAAAACAATTGCGTATCTATTTCATTGCGTTTATCTGTTTAAACGCGCGCTTTAATTTTTCCAACGTTTTTGCCTGTTTATATTTTAAAGGTCCTCTCTTCTAAAAATCTTGTTTTAAAGATCCTCTCCGCGAGCAAAATTCGAAAACATAAATTATTTAATATTTTTACTTTATTATTTGTAAATCCTCGGTAATTTCAAAATTTTTCTATTTGAAAATTATTAATTTTCTATTGCCAATTAATTTTATCACAGACTTTACTCTTACTCCCATTGCACTTTCGTTTGCGGTTTTCAGTATACGATTTTTTATCGTAGTTACTGAAAATTATTATTGTGAATTATACTTGTGCAGTGATTTGAAGAATTTACAATTTCGTTGAAATTGTTGATTTTTCAAAAAAATTACGAGATTCGCGGAAATTGCGTGCTTTCTTGGCATTTTCCGTTCGCGGCAGGCGGTTTATTTTTGATTGTTGCAAGTGTTTTTGTTTTTTTTTTTTTTTTTTTATAATAATAATGTGAAATAAATCACGATATTTGACAGATGTGCATATATATAGAAATTGTAATAATAATAATATTATATCATAAAATTGTAAATTGTTTCAATTTTTTATAGACTGCGATAAAAGATTTTACATTTGGATAAGAAACTGCGGTAAGTAAAAATATAAAATTCTTGAAAACGTAAAAATATTTGATAACGTAAAAAGGTGAACTTTGAAAAATAAGGAACTTAAAAATTGCACTAATAAATGGGCTATATATATGTGAGCCGTGCGCGGATGTAAGGTGTGTTATATCGAAATTTAATTAATAGAATTGAGAATTAATCCCAATTTTAAGTCTTACAAATGTCCAAGCTAATTTTTTGTACCTCGTGTACATTTTTGAAAGTTATATCGAAAAATTAAATTTCAATATGCGTCTTACATCTCACATTTCGCATACGGCTCACATATAGCCTATTTATCTCTTATACTTTATTTCAACCCTTATAGAAATTTATTACTAGTAACGCCAATTTATCACTTATTTCGAGTAATTAATCACTTTTATTTCGAATACTTAAATTACTGTATATTATAGTATTTTAAATACTCAAAATAAGTGATTAATTGGCGTAGTGATAAATTTCTACAAGAGAATAAGGAGCCTTTAAATTCTTAATGTAAAAAATTTCAAGTAATTTTCTTTAATAAAATTTAATTAAAAAATTTAATTAAAAAATTTTTGAACACTGTGTTATATCACATTTAAAATCGTGATTATTTCAATAAAAAAACATTTTATGTGTAAAAAATATATTTTTTATATTTAATAAATTTTATATATATATGCATATATGTAAAATATTCTCTCTCTCTCTCTCTCTCTCTCTCTCTCTCACACACACACACACACACACACACAACGGGGGCCAAATCTCTCAAATTGGTCTCATGATCAATTAGCCTGGATTCGCACCAGGGGCAAAGTCTGTTGGTAATGTCAAACGAATTTAGCCTGGACTTGCACCAGGGGCAAAGTCTTTTGGTCGAGTCTACGAAATTTAGCACGGACTCGAACCAGGGGCAAAGTGTGTCGGTAAGGGGCAAAGTCTATCGCACGAAGATGGCGGTCTCTTCTTTAGGCAGGCCTTTGGCGATCTGTCTACTGTGCCCGAGACACGTTCCCGTTTTCGGTGCCACCGAGCGCGCCACTCTCGATATTGCGGCTGGCTTCGCAATTATCGCGCTCGATAATGCAAGACTTTGAGGAGATCGATACATATACTTTTTCGATCGCGATCACGTCGATGGAAAGATAAACATATTCGTGACAGACGCGAAAGAAGGGATTTTGCGATCTCAAGGAGCTCCAAATTATTTTTTGGAATCTCGCGCTCTCGTGGACTTTAAATTTCCCACTCTTTCGGAGCGAACTGAAGTTGGCGCTGAAAGCTGAATCCGTCATTGATTATGTAATGCATGATGATGTGAAAGTTAGGCGTGAAAATATATAACATGTATAAAATATCTATATTATATCTAAAATATATATTTATATATATATTTATATTAATACATATATGTATATATTATTATCTATCGCACGAAGATGGCAGTCTCTCTTCTTTAGACAGGCCTTTGGCGATCTGTCTATTATCTGTGGCGCTAGAGAGAGAGGGAAAGTCTGCGCATGCGCGCGTAATTTTCAATATGGCGTCCATCTCTTCGCGTCACGTGACCGATTTTAGTTTATTCGTATCCGAGACCTGAGAACGTGAGCGGCACTGAACTCATGCTTTTCCACGATGGAGATTGTGCATTCTGATGGGAACGAGGCCAAGTACAAATTCGTTTTGTTACCAAACAACAGCGTAGAAATTCCTTTTTTCTTCTTTTATCGCGTCGTGAATTTCTTGAATTTGATTTATGAATATCCTTTTCAGATATGCAGTACCGAATTATCCTCTGTCAGTCCACAGTTCGATAGTTGCCAGTGAATTAAACACTATAATAAATGAACTTTTAAAAGGTGAGGAAAAATTTTCGTTTGAAAATGTATGAAATGTCTTTCGAGCTGTTGACCATCTTATTTTTTTGCAAACATCGCAAACTTTCAATATATATCACTGTTTTATATTTAAATATGTGTCATGTTTTGCCTAGCACATGTTCACAATTTTATAAGGAATATCCGATATATATTTAATTTGTACATGTCTAATTTTTCGAGTTACTTGTAAGAGTGTCTATAATTTTTTATTAATTGATTGCAGAGTCAAATGATGTCGAAAATGAAGTGGAATTTGATTTCTTGGTTTGCTCACAATTCTTACGTACTCCTTTGGTGGAACATGTCGCAGAGAGAGGATTTTTACAGAAGAGGTGATAGATGTAGAATATGTAGAAAAGCATCCCTTGCCGGAACCAAAGGATTGTTGATACATGATGATTGGGT